AATAACAAAATATTGGCTTTCTATTTATGGCAATATTAATTCTAGTTTTTTGAGACGTAGAGAATAATTCTCAAAACTTGTTAATTATAAATATACTTCAGATTTAGACAGAGTAATTAAGTATTAGAAAATCGAACCTACTGCCCCTATCAATTTCTAAATCATCAGTTTTTCTTTTACCTAATTAAGAGTTTTTGTTGTAAGCTATATAATTTTGTTAAAAATAAATTTATGTTGTACATTTTGTGTTAATGTATTTAAAATTTTTTACATATGGGAATAAAAACAAAAAACTGTATAATTTTATTGTATAAAATATCAATGAATGTGCGAAATATGAACGTGAAATTATTCTCCCATGCGACATTTTCTAGTTAAGAATATAAAAATAATAATTCAATATGTACAACATATGGTGATTATATAATCTAGTTAGTTATAATATAAGTCACATATCTGTTAGTATTAGATCAACGATATTTTTCAAAATCATTCTGAATTCCTCTTAAAAAATTCTTGTTTATAATATTGTACATTTGTAAATGACACATTTTATAATTCTATTGTGATATTTCTAATTTAAATGTCTTTTATATTATTTTGTCTTTTGCTCTTTATAAATTATTACGTTCCTATGTAGGCTTAGGCCTAAATTATTAGAATTTATTAGAGTTTTAAATTATTAAGAATCTAATAGTTTTGGTTTTAAGAATAAAATATTTTAGTAGTCACAAAATAACTAATAAAATAATAAGTACAGAACAGAATTTGCTCATAAGAGAATATGTTCATAAGAGAATGTGTTCATAAGAGAATGTGCTTATAAGAGAATGTGCTCATATAAGAGAATCATATATTATTCAATTGTTAATAATTTATATTTTAAATGATTTTTTTTCATAATTTTATAGTCTTAGCATTAGTAAGGGAAAGATGTCACTCACATAGAAGTCCGATCACTCACACGACTCGCATGTACTATAGGCCAACAAGAAGACCCATTGTAAACTCTCAAATTAAAATTTTCATATGCATTATACTTAAGAATTTAATAAAATAAATTTTACAATATTAGAACAAAATTTTCTCATAATTTTACTATTTGCGGCAATTTTCACTTGAAAATATTAATTCTAAAATATTGAAATTCCCGAGGAAAATTATATGAAAAATTATTTTTATTTCATTAAAATAATATACTGTTTATTTATTATTTTTATTTTTATTGCTTTCTGAAATTAAATAACAAAGAAATTTTCAGATTTTTTTTCTTTAATATTTTATTTATTTAATTATATAATAAATATTATTTCACTATATATTTAATGAAATAATTTTTGAAAAAAAAGAAGACATGTGTATATGTACATTATATTAAAAACATTTTAATTTCGGTTAATTAAATAAGAATGTTAAAGAATTAAATTTCCTGAATCAGCAAAAACAAAAAAAAACGAAACGACAAACAAAAAAAGATTTATATACAAAAAGTGTGAATTTCAATGTGGAAAAATTTGGCATGATCATTTTAAAATTTTAATTAAATTATATACCGATAGGTGAAATATGTATTTGAAATTGTTTTTTTTTTTAAATAACTCTCATAACATATATGATTCGTCGGTCTCTCATAATGCCAATTTGTCTGTAATATTCAAATAATTTAAGAAAGAAAAAGAATTAATTTTTCAAAGGAAAACCGAATTAATGATTAAGTAAATCATATTTTAATGAGATTTAAATTAAATTAAAGAAATTAATAATAAAATATTTATTTAGAATGTTGGGGAACGTTGCACGGATATGGTTTGTACACTATAATTTTGTAACTTATGTCTTCTTTACGTATTTCTTGAAATTTTTCAAACTAAAATTCTGTAGAGACCTATTACCTACACGAATTGAGTATATTGCGAGGACGCTTGAGAGAAGACAGTTTCCCAGACCTAATAATAATACAAGCCTTATAATAGTACAATAATAATACAAATGCAAATATTAAAATATCAAAGGATTTTTAATTCATTTTTTTGTTGCCGCGTCGCCATAAATTTAAATGTTCTAAGTTAAGAATTCTGAAAACAGTCAAAAAAATTTTTAAAATTATTTAAAATTTTCTCGAATAAACTTCAAAGCTACAAAAATTACGATGAAAATATGGTAAAAAAAAAAATACTTACTAACAATTTTTGCTTTTGACATCCAATTTATATCAAAATCAGAATTTACTCTTTATATCCACTTTAAATAAAAATTATTTGAGAAAAGAAAAACTAAAAAAAAAAAAAAGCAATAAGTATTGCCTTTTTCCTTTTCCAATAATTGATTGATTGATTACAGTCCACTTCCAGATTTAAGCATTTTTATCATAATTTTTTTTTATTGTTTTTTTTATTGTTTTTCTCAGTAATAAATTAAAGTATTTTATATTGTACGAGTACATTGAAAAATTTAATTTATTATTTCTTTGTACTTCTAAAAATAACCAACGTAAGGTTATTTTATGTTTTAGAATTGAAATGTTAATTGATTGATTTTTAATTATTTTTTTCGTATTTTTCTTTTCTATGTTTCCACCTCATTATATTAGAGTGCTGATTATATGCTTCTAATAAAATTTTCACAACTGAAATTGATGACTTCATTTGAAAATTTTATAAATTTTGCAAAATAAAAAATAAAATGTTCTCATTTTTAGATTGAGTTGATTGATTTTTGTACATGAGTGCATACATTAAAACCTATCTAAGACGGAATCCTATCGGTCAGGTTCTTGACAGACCTTTAACAGATTGGGTGACAGTAAAAAATTTTTTTCATTGGTTTTTTTATTCGAAAATTACAGAAGTAACTAAAAATTAAAGATATTGAATTAAATTACACAAAGCAAAAATTCAAAAAAATTAAATTTTTTTTAAGTTTAAAATTTTTGTAGGGACATACGAAACTAGATACGTATGAATAAATGCATAACATATTGCATATGGATGTCAGTAGTTATTTATAAATTTCTTCAAAGAATTAGTTCTAATAAATGAGTCGTATTCAGCTCACGAAAATTAATCCGTTTCTTGTCATTAAAAATTTCGTTTTTGACAAGTGACATTAGTTAACATTTTACTAAAATATTTTCATTTCCGTTTTAGACAGGTTTCTGTCTTAAAGGGTGATTTTTGTTATGAATTTTTTTTTTCAAATGTTTAATTGTCAAAAAAAATGTTCTTTTATAAACTGCTTGCTGTATTCTTAATGTTTCGTCTAAGACGGATTGTACTGTATTTACGTATATACGAAATGAATTTTTTTAATAAAAAAAATTTTAAAGTAATAAAAATTTTTGTTAAAAATTAACTAAGTATAATTTTCCGTAATTTTAAATGTTTTGATTGTATAACTGAAATTTGAGAAATACTTTATTTAAAATTATCTTTCATATTATTATTACAGTTATGTATTATGTATAATTATTCCGATCACCCTATACTAAGTACGTAATGATTGAATTTTTAAAACAAAATTTTCGATAAAAATTAAAAAATCAAATGATTTTAATTGCCACATTTCTTATCATATTGTTAATTTAGTATTATCTAATATTAAATATTAAATTTCAAGTATTAAAATTCTATTGTTAAGTCATTAGAAATTAAATAATAAAATTGAAATATTGAAAACAGAATCCTTATCCAAAATCATGCGTGCCCTGAAAGATAAAATGTTATCCTTATCAGTTATCATCTGTTTTATTATTTCCTCGATAATGCTGAACTGATTATCAGTTTTTGCTTTAGTTATAAGGTATTCGATCTATGAATTTGATAAATCGTATACAATATCAATTTATCGAAAAAAAATAAACATTTTTATAATCTCGTATTTTATAACAATATATTTCCTTAATAAATGCAACATAAATAGAATATACGTCCGCTCATAAAAATTGAGTGATTATTTTCTAAAATTTAATTTTGATTATTATCTTTGGAAACTGTACATACATATGTAACATAAAATATAAGTTAGTTAATATTTTTGTATAACACTTTAAAAATTATGATAAAACAAAGTTATCACTTTTAGGATATAGGATTGTTGTTATTTATATTTATTTATATATATTAGCGCTCTCTTTTATCGTTTTACGAGTTATAAATACGATAACAAATACGAAGATCATCATAAATTATTATTATCAGGAGATTTCAGGATTTAGAAATATCGATCTAATTTAAGAAATAAATTAACAATAAAGTTTACATTGTAGTATTTTCGAATATTTTTTAATAATTTGAAAATAATAGTTTTACTATAAAACTTTTTGTACCACAAAAAAATATAAAGTATTGCTTTTATTAAAAATATATTCTATACATATTTAATTTAAAATAATAATAAATTAATTAAAAATTTAAGAAAAGCACAAACCTACTGACTGTGTAAAACCATTATCTATATACTTAAATAAACTATTATAAATTATAACATTAAGAAACATGGCTCACTCTCTCTCTGCATCTTATAAGTATAGGAAAATTTTTATGCTTCTCAATTAAGATCAATCAAATATAATTAATTTGTATTGAAAATAAAATCTGTATAGCAAACAATATCAAATCAATACAAATTTAAAATAAATTTATACAATGTAGTACAATATTTTTATACACATAATGATATACAAATATTACTATGCTTAACCAATTAATAAAATACTATAGGAGTAATAATCAATAAATAATAAAAGGAAAAAATCAACAAAAATCCAAATCAATTTACAATATATTTTAAAACAAATTATATAACTAAGAAAATTTTTTAATAAATAAATTATGAATATTTTATACACTCTACTTGTATTCAAAACCATTTTTGAATGTAGTTTTTTTTAACGCTTTCTTATATAATATTAAAATTTAAAAAAAAATCAGTATATATTTAATAATTTATCATAATAAATGTACATATTATATATATATATAAATGTTCTCAATTGCATACAGAGTTCAAGTGTACAAAACTCGGTGGCAATAATAAATATTTTAATATTATTACAACAACTTGAGCATTACATAATTCGATTGTGTGTCCCATCAATAAATAACACAAAATTTATTTTATACACTTTCTTTGGAGTTTCTTCTTCAATTTCATATTTTTTTTTCTTCTTCTTGTATATAACAATAATTAATAAAAAAAAAAAAATAAAACGAAAAAAAAAAATATAATGACAACTCCATTGAAAAGTGATGCTCAATCACCACCAATGTCAGAACCACCAGAATTACCATCAAATATGAAAAATGAAAAAATAAATGAGCAACAGCAACAGCAAATAAAAGATGAACAGCAACAACAAAAATATAATAAAAAAAATGATTTGGAAGATCAAGAAAAATATCAGCATCAACAACAACAACATCATTATACACAATTATCATCATCGTCTAGTAGAGAATCAAAACAACGTCGTCGTTATGAACATATTAGTGTTCTATTATATGGTTTACATGATACAAAAACAATAACACATGATGATTTACGTAAACCATTAAATGATAATGATAATAATAAAGATCATAAAGTAAGATTTGCTACACCAGATGATTTATCATCAGATGATAGTACAACATCTATAAATAAACCATCATTACCATTACCACCAGCTGTTATAATTACAGATACTGATAATAGATGTGAAAATGAATTTATACCATTACATTTAACACAATCAGCACCAGTTGTATCTGATACACCACAAAGTCCAACAAGACGTTTAAGTCAATTTAATTTTGCTCATCATTTAAGACGTTTTTCACATTCTAATATGGTACCTAAAAAAAAAAAAAAAATTACAAAAAATGCAACGAATTAATTTTCTTGTGTTCTAATTTGTTTCTTATGTTCTAATTCTCTTGTTTTTTTTTTTGTGTTAAGAAATTCTTAAAAAATATTAGAAAATAATAGTTTGCATAATACTAAATCCTAAAAAGAAACAAAAAAATTCAAATTCGTTTATGGTTATTTGTTTACTTACTTACTTAAAAATTTTATTCTATTCACTTTCTAATTTTGTTTTTGTTTGTAAAAGACTTACGTTACTTGTTTCAAAGGGCAAAATCAATTTTTTTTATTCAATATTCTTACTTAACACACCCCTATTTTTAATAATTAATAATTTACTAATAGAATAATTTTTAAAATAGCTTTTGTTTTGGCCAAATATTTAATTGTAATTTATTAAATTTATATGTTTTATGTACTTATAAATACATTAAAATCAAATTTAATAATCTAAAAAAAAAATTTGATATCAGAATTGCAATAGTACTTTGTAATTACAGAATTCAGCAATTAGAAGTTATAAGCTGAATTGTGTAGTAACACAGTATTAATAAAATTTCGATATTAGCGATTCACCAAATTAATTTTTTTTGTTTTTGTCTTTCTAAATTTTTAAAATTAATAAAAATAAATAAGAAATTCACGTAAAAATTTTTAGTATATAAGATTTTACACTCTATTCTCTTAGATATTACGTATTTTGAATTCCAGAATATATTATAACAGTAAAGTTATTGTAAAATTAATTCAGCATAATCAAAAAATTTCAATAATTTCTTAATTCCTGGATTACAAGTATTGCAATATCTACCAAAATTTAAATCTATAACATCAATTTCACTTATTCAGCTCAACAATTTTTATTGCTGAATAAGTCAATTTCATATTAGATCTGAGTTTTGGTAGACGTTCTTTATAATAGTATTATGGAATTCATTTTGTCTTTTATATATATTTTTTAATGTATGTACACTTAAATCTAACAAAATTTGTAAAAAAATTAGCTATATAAATTTGGATTCACTATATTTTACATATATCAAAATTACGCTTAACCTAAATTATAATAATTATAAACTTTTAAATACTTTTAAAATATAATTGATGTATTTTCCTGTAATCTAAAATGTCATTTGAATGTTGGCTGTAAAAGCAGAATAATTTTAAATGCAACTGGTTTAATAACTGAATAAATTTTGAATTTGTATTTTTGTAGGTCGCAAATGTAATTAATAGCTTTGCAAATGACATTTTTGGTTTTCAGACTTTAATTTCACTTAAATTATAATGTCATTCTAAAGTTGGATTTATTGATTCATCGTATTCAGCTTGAACTGTTCTAAGTTCAAAATAATTTCTATCGTCAACGTTCGAATAGAAATAAGTTGTGACAGAAATTTAGACTTTATTAATGAAACTACGTTTTGAGAAGATGAAAATGCGGTATGTCAAAATATGTAGAGAATGTCAATTGTCATATATAAATTCTTATTAAGTTAATAATAAGTATAGCATGACTGAAATACAATGAAACAGTATATCCGGCTTATCTCTAAACTAAATTTTGTACTATCCGGCTTATCTCTAACCTAAATTTTGTGTCTGTTCTATTTTCTAAAGACAAATATCTTTCTTATATACCAATTACTTAGCATGTTTATGTTTAACTATACAAAATTGGATCACAAATGAAAGATGATTCAAAAGTTCTACATTCAAATTATGGCTTTGTAATAATAAAATATGTGTATATTTATTAAATATTTAATATGGATAATGTTTAGTTAACCAAAGGCAATGCTTATAATATTTCTCCCCTCTTTTAACGCAGATTTACTAAAAAATTGGTTGTTCAGCCATTTAATTGTAGGCGTTGAATAAGTTGATCATAAACCGTGACTTAAAAAATGTACTAATATTGCGCTACCGAACAATTTAGCAAATATTTTTCTTAGGCTGAATTTTATATATAAACCTATTTCAGTCTGTTCGAGTTTTTAAATATTCTAATTAATTTTCGAGTTTTAAGAATTCTAATTGTGCTACCGTACAATTCAGCAAATACTTCTCTTAGGCTGAATTGTATATTTATACACTATTTCAGTCTGCTCGAATTTTTAAATATTCTAATTAATTTTTAGGTAATTATCCTTGATATTTAATTATCTTTGACTTCCAAAACGCAGTGCCACAGTATTAAAAAACAATACGCAGTTTGTGAATTGCGGTATTAATATACGATTCAGCTTGTAAGTGTGAATTGCTGAATTGATTAACAATACCGTATTATTGCAATTTGGAAGTCAAAGTATATTGCGTAATACCAAATTTTGTTTACAAACTATGAAATCAATCATTTATGCCACTTGTTCTATAAATCATGTGAAAGTTATTGTGAAAGAAAACTACATACACCTTCGAATTCCCTCTATTCTATTATTTAAGCCATAAAATTTTAATCAAATGTAAGTACATCATTCATTATTAAGGTATTTCTTTGCTGTTCAATTTGTGATTATTCATAATTAAAAGGAAGTGTGGTCTTATATTACAATTTACGTTTTCATTTTATGTAATAGAGTGATGTGCATATGTGCAAAACGTATTTAATAAAATAAAATAATTAACCTCTCTATCTGTAAATCTGAGTTGAATAAATTTACATTTTAAAAATAAACCTTATAATTATGATAAAAAAAATTTATTTCATTTTTAAAACTAATTATAAAGATAAGTGACGGTTGCAATATGCATTTACTATTAAGATAAAACGTAAATTACATTAAATGGAGCCATATTATATTCATTTATTTTCTTTGCACTTTATATTTTATTCTAAATAATCAATTTTTTGTTTATTTACACTTCCTCGACATGAAATTATGAAATAAAAAGAAATTAAAAATAAAATGGAATGATCTACAAGAAAATAATATCAGTGCAAATAAAAGTGATCAATTCCATTTGAATTGTAAGAAAAAATTATGAATATGCAACATCATGTTGCCGTAAAAATAACTACAAGAAAATTTGAGATAATTCGCAGTTCAGCTATGGAGTAACGTGACTTGTGAACCATATGAGCCGAATTTCATATTAGATTAATTCAAAAATAAGTATCTCTGATTTCTTAATTTCAGTAGTACAATATTAACATTCATTTTTGTTCTTGAATATTTTATATTGTTGAATAATGTTGTTGAAAACCGCATTTTTCAAATAAGCATATATTTTGAATTTGTTCAAATGCTTTAAATAATTTCCTACCTTATTTTTCAATTAACTGCACAAAAGTATTTTTACAACCGTAAACATAAGAAATAATATTCAAATTATCATAATTTATAACTACTGTAATAATAACCGTTTTATATTCTGTTAAATCTTTTCATTTATAGATGGCGGTAAAAATGTATAAAATATTTTTTCTCTTATTTTTTTAATGTAAAGTTAAGGAAATTAGGAAAAGCTTTTATTAAAAAAGTTATTGAGAATATTTATGAATTCAATCTCATATTCTCATCAAATATAAAGTTTACTGATTTACCGGTAATTATTATTCATTTTTAAGAAAAAAGAGAAAAACAAAACTCAAATATAAAAACACGTTTAACACGTAAAATTAATTCATGATTTTTAAATTTTTAATTATTGTTGTTTCTCAAGTTACCTAAATAGTCATCTGTTTTTATTCTATGTAGGTGAATGCATATGTACATATGCATGTATATAATTGAGGATTCCCAATTCTAATGTTATAGTTTAATACAAAAATTATTCTATTCTGTTGAATTTCTTCCGAAATAAAATACCCAATTATCACAATAATAATAATGAATTAATGCACGTCAAATGTATCAGTAGATATGTATGTACATACACATATTATGTATAGGTATACATATAAAAATGTACGATATATTATTTTTATTAATTTAATTAGTTTGGGGAATTATTCTAACTCTTCTATATAAGTATAAAAATAATTAGCAAACCTAAAATTGGTGTAAATAAACGAAGAAATTTTTGGTAGGAAGCGTAAGAGACCTTCAGAATTTAAATTAAGGAGGATTTTTCCTAAATGCTTAGGAAAAATAAGTATATAGTTAATACGTGATTATAATTTATAAGTAAAACTTCATTCATTTTATCCTTATGCTGTGGCACATTGCACAAAATATTTTAGTAATTTTCATTGTCTGAGTTTTTAAAATAGGCAAGGTTCATGATTTTTGATTTAAGGTAACAAATGATTAACTCAATTTAATATATATGTAGCTGTAACGGTGAAACCATTACACATAATTTATTCACGATTAAGTATGCATTCTTCATTTCCATTTTTATCAACAAAATATTTTGTAAAACAAAAAAACCTACTCTTAAGCTTTTATGTATAATAATTATTTAAATAGTAAAAGTTTATTCAATATATCATTCTTTCGTAATTAGTCATTGTCCCACAACGATTATGACGTAGTTTAGTGGAATTTTCACAATTTCGTAAGCTTAACATTATGTTTATTATGCAGATGCTTTTATATCTTTAATAAACACGAAATAAATTTTTAGTATGAATAAATCTCATATATGTACTTATTTTTTTCTTGTAAAATTTAAATTTTTATGAAAAAAACCCAAATTACTTATGCATAAAATTTTCCAATTGTACTATCATATATGATGGCGTGCTACAATTACGATATCACTTTAGCAGCTAACATCCAAAATTAATAGCAAAAATTTTGCCCAAATAGATAATATTATTGATTTATAAAAAAGCTAATTTCGGTGTATATGGGGCGCGTAAATAGAACAAAATAGAATTTTATTGATTTTTAAGGAAAAAAACAAAATTTTAAAATTTGTTGATTTTAAGAACCAGTTAACAATTTAAATAGAAATAAAATTAAATCATTAATTTTTTTCATTATATTCTTGAAATTCCTAAATCTACAGAATATTCTTAGAATTCTTTAGGATTTC